ATGCCCATGGAAGAAGGAAGTTTTAGTGTCGAAGTATTTTGTAGTGGCAAAGATATCAACAAAAGCCAACAAAAACACAGTAAATAGCATTCATGGAAATCTATTTCGAACACCTGATTAATGCTGTTTACCAGGATTATCAAAATACTCTAATTAAAAAGCACGGCGATATTTATCCTTTACGCTCAGCAGTAGTTAAATTTGGTGGTTTTCAATTAAGCTATAACTGACAAGGCAGAACTAGATTGGGGAAAGAAGAAGTAGGAAGCTTAAACATTTACACCAAAGAAATTCACTTAAATATCTTGTTTGCTTATTGTTTAGCTGGTTTAAAAAGCGATATTGTTTGGCTTTCCGGAGTTAATTAACACTATCGCCCACGAACTAGCCCACTGTTTACTGGCTAATTATAAACTTGGTTTTGGTACATAATAGTTATTTTTAACAATTATAACTCAAAAACTTCAAAAAGTGAGTTATAATTTGCTTGCCTATTGCGTGAGAGAGCAATGGTTCTGTTTAGGTGTTTTTGAAGGATTGGGAAATGCGAAAAAGCGACTAAACAGAACCGTTGTGAACTTGTTTTCTTTGGATTTTTTTTTGCTACTTTTTTTTAAAAGTTATCAGTGTGCTGCGGTTAAACTGTGCTGTTGCCCTTGGTAAATAGTTCAATGGTAAACATTACAAGCGTAAATGTGGTTAAAAGTATGGACTACCTTTTTGCCTCAGTCGTCATAAACAATTATGGGCTGCTTTTCTTGTGAACAGAATTTATGCTCGTCTCCGGTTATTCCTTGTTGTAAACAGCCCGGACAATGGGGTTTTTTACAAACATAATAGTCTTTTCAGAACTTTTTTTGCGGGTTAGTTGCGTTAGTTTCAGTAGACATATTGTTTTTGTTTTTAAGCTGTTTAGCATTTATCTCTTTCCCTTATTCACTCTTTTCATGCAGCTAAATTAGTTAAAGCATACTGGCCAAGCACATTCTTTGATAATTCTCCTTGCCAGGTTCCTCACTCTTTCTTGTCCTCAAAATGGTAAACT